TTTTTTATATTTAAAATGAGATGTTTATCCTGTATTTGATTGTGTTTATTTGCAGTTAGTTACACGAATTCAGATATGGGATGAAATCGGATAGGGATGAACGAGTTTAAGAGTTTTTAAGAGTTTAAGAGTTTTAAGAGTTTAAGAGTTTTTAAGAGTTTAAGAGTTTTAAGAGTTTAAGAGTTTTTAAGAGTTTTAGTCAAATGCTTTATAATATAGTATAGATATATATAATATAGGGTATAGTTCAAATGCAACCATGTTCATTTGTACAACTAATGCAACCCAATTAATTGAAATATTTATGAAAATGATGAGAGTTCATTTATTATAATTTGAATATTTATGGAAAATGACTAGAGTTCATTAATTATGATTAATACTTCATATTAGGAAACAATCACAACTTTTATGAAATCACATATTTATCAAATTAAATGGACGGTTGAGATTTTGTATTGGTTGTACAAATGTAAATGGTTATATCTATGATATATTATAAAGCATTTGACAAAAACTCTTAAAAACTATTTTTTATGCATAAAGTACCGTATATTAATGTATATTACTTAAAATTCAAGATTATAAGTAAATTATGCACAAGTACAATTTATTAAAGCTCAATTTTGAATTCGTGCAACTAAATGCGGATAAACATAATCAAATCGAGTTCTAACAAAATAATTAATTATTATCTTTATAAAAAATTATATTATTAAACCAAATATAAATTACTTCGTTGTTAAACCTAAATTAAATTATGATAAAAAAATATTTGAATTAAAAATTACACAAAAAATGATGATTTTTAAATAGTTAATTTGATATTGTATCGATATATTTTTGTCAAATTTTTATAATATTTTCAAATTTATATTTTATTAAAAAATAAAAACATGACCATATTATAACGTTGACTGAGATAAAAAATAAAATAAAATATTAAAATCAAGACTTACCTTACTGGTATCATTTTAGTAATATATACATATGTGTGTATAAATTTGAAATTCACTTATTTTATATAATATTTTCTTAAAATATATTATAATAATAAAATTATATAATATTTTAATAATATAATTAATATCAAAAAAATTAAATTAAATATGTTCATGATTTCAACATTAATATTTTGATTTTTTATTTAAAAAGAATTTGTCGGTTGAAAATACTAAGGAACTCTTGTTCGTAACTTAAAAAACGTAGCATTAAATGCCTACCGCTCACGGATGATATGTTTTCCTATGAACCATAAACTTAACCCCAAGCTTTTCATCTGATTTCAGACCAATCTCCATAGGGGGAAGAGCCATAGAATTCGTGTTTGTTTGGTCACTACCTAC